TTTTTTCCTGCCTCGCTGCCCTCCACTTTCCCATTCTGGAGCGCTAGCTTTCGCCCCCCCCCTTGGCCTCAAGTTGGATTCTAGCAGGCAGTCTACCCGAACGGAAAGGATAGCTACTTCCTGAGAGGGATAAGACACAAGAAGCATTCCACTCAGATTTTCTTGGATCATTGCCTTGACACACAGGCAACCAGAAGCATTTCTCCATGTGAAAGAAGCCATTCTCCCCGATTCGACTTGTTCACGTTGTTCATACCATGGATCCTTTCAAAATCACGAAAGGTAGCGGTTACGCTACCTGAGTTTTCCTTTTGCTTTAGCAAAAATGTATTAACCCAGAGCTGCAGCCTAGCTCTCGGAGAAATGGTCCCCGACATCTTCGTTTGCTGGCCGGGGGGGGGGGGGCCCCCCCCCCTTTCAACTCCCCCCTAGCGCGCCTCGGGGTCAACCGTTCGAAAACACTGTAAATATCAGTGTTTTCAGCTCTTCCAGTCCTCAGCAGTGACCAAAAATCATGGAATTTACAGCGTTTTTTGTGGCTGTCCGGCAAAAAACACCGCAAAAACCGATGGTTTTTGATGCGTCTCGGTTAGAAAAATGACCGAAAAAAGACCAAAAACCAGGAAAGATTTTGTCAGAAAGGGTTTTTGAGGCTTTTGGAGGCTTCAAAATTGCACAAAACTATGGTATTTACAGGGTTTTGTGCACCTTCTCGGCAGAAAACGCCGGTATTTACACGGTTTTCTGCGCTTTTCCAGCGCTCAACCGTGGTGCGCCTTTGGATCGACGGCTACAAAATACCGTAAATACAAGTGTTTTCAGCTCCTCCTGTCTTCAAGCGTGGCCTTAGACCTTGCCGCGGCTGTGGATCGACGGCAACGAAACCTCGTAAATACCAGTGTTTTTGAGCACGTCCTGTTTGCAAGCATGGCTTGCGGCCATGCAATTTACAGGGTCGCCGCACGTCACTATGTAAATCCGAAGTTGCATTTGAGAAATATGTGACTCCTTTTGAAGGCACGTCAACCTGTATTGAAACCGCTAGACCGCTACAGCTTCTGGAGGTTTTGTCAAGCGTTTGTGCATTAGTCTTTCTTTCATCACGCTCATTCACTTCTCTTCAAACAAGTGGGGGGCCTCTCACCTCCTCCCTGCTACCTTTCGTTCACCCCCCTCCTCTCTCAAGTCTTTCAAATACAGTGAAGATAGTGAAGACCGGAACGTAAGGCATTGAGTTTGTTTTGCTTCTTCATAGCAAGCACCTCTACTCTTTGCGAACCATGTACTTGCGGCAGGTGTTGCTCCCCCAGGGCAAGCCTGAGGTTGACGAGCTTCTCAACGAGGATGGAGTCAGCAGGGAGAAATACATGAAGCATTGGTTCAAACAATCTAGTTTGAAATAGAATCAACAGCACTCCCAACTAATGCTGTTGCGATGCCGCACCAGGTGGATGTCGCATGTGACCCCTTGAAGAACGGGTATTGAGTCAGTATAGGTATCCATCATAGGAGTTCCTGCCAGAGCATGGTCATCCAAATGGATCACCCCATTGCCACAGATCCACGCAGTTCCGGATGACACATAAATGGAACAACACCCTGCAACTCCTTTTGAGACTCCATCTGAGCCAAACTGTGGTTCGGGTGGATGTCACATGACCTCATGTCACCACGTCTTTGACGTTGACCTCCCTCGATCTTGTCCGTGTCACCGGCCAGGAGGTCTACGCCCATCTCTTGGGCGAGTTCGACCTGATGAACGTGAGCATCGAGTTCGGCCATCCCTTCCAGGCGCCGCGGCGTCGTCTCCGGTTCGTGTTTTGGGGACCTTTCTTAAGTGATGACGTGAATCGTTGGCGTTGGCGTTCTTCAGCTGAAAGAAAGGACATACAATTTATTAGGGAACACATGGGAACACTATGGAAGCAGATCGACGACTCGGGAGTTCTTTGTTGGTGTCGGAGCCAACCAAAAGCATGCTGGGACCCCGACCCCCGCTTTTGGAAATCACCTCCTATTTAACCTGAATTTAACCAAGAATACCCCCCCTGCATGTGATGCTTGGTCCTTCCAAGCCCCGGCTCAGCCTGGCCGAGGCGGCGCTGGAGCGCCCCGAGATGCAAGAGCTGCAGCAGCAGCTCCGTGCCAGCGGGCTTTGGCGGCGCGTGGCGGAGGCGTGCCTGTGGTCAGTGGAGCAACCAGCGGAAGGTTATAGACTTAGGGATCCAGAAAGCATAGTGCCAACTGGAACAGGAACTGGAAAACAGGAACTGGAAATTGCACTTTTTGGTACCCCCAAGGAATGCCCAAGGAAAATGACACATTAATTAGTTCAAGGATTAAAAGGAACTGAACGTAATGCCCAAAAAGTTCTTATGAGTCCTTGGTGAAGTCCCGTAACTCATGGATGTTCATAGGACTTGGGGTTGAATGGCATGTGGAAGATGGGTAGGGTAAGGCTGGGAGAGTGATGGAATGTGTACGGCGTACGGGTGGACAGATGGAATGGATGAGATTGGATGTGCTGCTGCTGCGATGGTAGACTCTGGAGACACTTGATTTGTGCAGAAGAGACATGCTCGGCTGGGCCTCTAGCGTTGTCCAGACGAAACCCCTTGGATGAGTTGCGGAACATCTGAATCTTCAATTCACTTCCGTCGGGATTCTGTAGCGGGTTTGAAGATCAACCCTTAAGAGTCATTGAAATCAGGGTTATATAATCAATCCTTCAACCTGTCTCCCATGGAAGGATTCTTGGCAGACGATGGTAAGCATAACTGCAACATCACATCTCGGGAGAAAACATGAGATTTTATATAGGACCTTAATGTCCCAGTTGTTTCTTTTGTAAACTGATAAGATGTTACCCTTTGCAAGACTCAGTGATAATTGATTATAGAATATTTTTGCGTGGACGCATCACTTAAAGGCTAGGTTTTGAAGAACACCAAACATTAACATCATGTACCATCCACCACCCGCCGGTTGCTCGGCCGATTTGGCTTGCTCGCAGCTTAGTAGCTTGGATCTACCTGATGATCCATGAATTTCATGCCCCATGCGCTCGATCTTTGCCCAGCAGCAGCTCCTTAACCCATGCGCGTGAGACGACCGGGCCTACTACGGCCTCGTCGCTCCGTGCTCATGGGGCTGTGAGCTGGACGAGACGGAAGCTGGAAGCATCTGGGGTCACAGAGCTTTGCAGAAGAACATGCTTTTGATTGTTTTTCTTTGTGTTTCTGGAGTTAAGCATCTACAGGGAATCTATAGTAGGCATTCCGTGGAAGCCTTGGAGTAGATTGAGCAGAAAACCACAAGCCAGATTCAGCCTTAGATTGGATCCATGTTCTCACCTGGGTCTATGATCAAATGTCTCAGTTCACCCACTGCAACAAGTGGGATCGAAAATGATCGAACATGGTTTTGATCCAACTCCAACAAGACTAAGGTGAAGAGCCCTGGCCTTGGGCTCCAAAGATGGCGTGAGAGCCTGGTAGTCGCTGCAGCCTCCAGCTGCGCTTTTCGCAGGTCCAGGGTCAGTAGACGCTTGGAGCAACAAGAAGTGGCCGCCCTTCTGACTTTGTTACATATTCTAGTGACTAGTGTAATTTGTTGTATTTTATTGCCTTGTTGCAGAGTTCTGTACAGATAGGCTAATTATATACTCTGCACATCTCTACACTCTCATGAACCTCGGCATGTGGCTTTTTGCTAGTCAACTGGCATGGCCCATGGCCCCATATTCTTCCAGCAGCTTTTTCAGTTTTTACCCATCGCTTAGGACGCGCCACGCCGTCAGATGCCGCGGTCTTCTGCTCGGCGCTGTCCACGTGCCCCGACTGGCGCTCGGCGGTGGCCGAGCTCAGCGCGGAGGCGACCTACAAGCTGCGGAGCCGTGAGCGCCGGGGCTGGGACTTTGCGCTGGTGCATGTGTGTCCTTGGCGGACTTATTTGAGGTGGTGGTATTTGGTGGTTTTGGGAGTGGTGAGGGAGGAAGGTTGTGATGGGTTAAGGATAATTAAGGTGGGAGAATTGGATTGAGTGGGTGAAATTGAGATTAAATGAAGCCTTTATGTTTAAAGACTTCCAGGAATTGGAATTGCAAGTGGTATATGAAGTGACGATTTCCGCCCCAAAGCCCATGCCGACGCACTTGAGGACGGGGCATGATGGCATCTCGGTGTCCGACGTGACCTTGGCACTGGACCAAAGCCTGGGCACCAAGGGCAACTGCTTGGGCGTGGCGGTGAACGGCTGCGGCGGCCCTGGCACCGACGCTTGGAGACTGTTGGGAAGACCTTCCACAGGTAGAGCCGGCCCAAAAGGCGACCCTTGTACGATGCGGGGCGGCCCTGGCAGTCCAGGCTACGGCTACATGTGTGTTTTCTTTCTCAACCTATTAAGTGACGGTTTGCTGCTGTCAAGGTTCACAATCACCTGCATATTGTGAGCAGGAACCCCGTCCGACACCTGGAGCTAAGACAGCATTAATTATATAAACGATATTGAAAAAGCGCAGCCTGGAAGAAACGTATTTTAAGGCCGCAATGGTGAGGACAACATCATATGAACCACCACCACTCACTGCTACAGTGCTTCAGGTGCCCCACTTCATATTTGACCTGACATCTCCAATGAGTCACCTGTTTTTTTAAACAAGACAGACTGACTGACTAACTCCACTTCATGTTGACATGGAATTCCAATGAATGTTCCGAGGACCACCACCGTCAGTCGCACGTGGGGCGCGCGGTCATCCAGTTGGTGGCGGTTCAGCTGCCGGTGAAGCCGGGGAGGCCCAACGTGAGTTCGGCCAAGTCCTTCTTCGTGGGGCAGAGGGAGCCTTGGATTTTGGTTTGGGGATGCTCTTTGGTTTGGTTTGGTTTGGGGGATGCGTTTGTTGAATGGTTGTTGGGCAAGTGAATCCTTGGGCAGGCGGCAGGAGTCTCCACACAAACTAACTAGTAACTAGTTTCTTCATGATTAATTAGTCTGGTTGTGAAGGGGTGAAGCAGTTTCAGTCCGACCATGTGCCATGTGTGGCTTGGTGCGTTTTGCTTCAATTTGTGAAAAGATTAGTTTTCCTTCTCATACATTCATAGATCATAGACCGACTTGGTTTCAGGTGTCGAGATCTTTCCCCACACATGACTGCCTGTCCCTATGAAGAATGTAGAAGGTGATCATTGCAGACACTTGTTGCAAGCATCACCCGCCAACAAACACATTTAAATGCGGACGAGGAGACTGTAAAGCCGCAAAACGAACGCGAACCATCAGAGAAAAACTGACCTAGCCCCATCTTAACCACCATATACCGTTACCACCATAACTCAAGCCCGGAATCCCTTCCTTCGCTAATACTTGGCCAATAGAGCTTCTCCTCAGTCCCTCAAACTCTCTTCCGCCCAGGAGCTTCAGCAGATTTCTGGGCTCGTTTGTCAGCTGCAGAACCGCACGCGCGTGATCGGTGCCCAAGAATCCGCGCTCCCAAGAGCCTGGCGACAGTTCCTGGGCGTCTTGGAAAACGAGGAAAGGCCCAAAGGGATCCTTCTCTTCATCGAAGCTTGGTGAAGCAAAGGTGGGGATGATTGATGGCTGGATTGTATGGATTGATTGGATTGATCGACTGGTTGACAACTGATTGGTTCATTGATTGCCTCGGGCCTCCTCAATGCTCAGGTTGATCTCAAGGTCTTCATGGGCGCTAGGTTGAAGCAACATGACTGACTGTGTGATAACTAGTGGCTAATATTGGCTATAGATGCATGTTTGTGGTTTGAGTTTGATTTTGCTTTTGGCTGTTTTGTTTGTGGCTGGCTTCCATGTCCGCCATGTCGGACCCAACCTCAGACTCAGCACTTCTTGTATTGTTGAAAACGCTCATGGACTCATAGATGTCAAAACCGAACCGTTTTCAAGGAAGGCATGTGTTTCCGTTGCCGTCTTTCTCATATGACAGAAGGCATATTTTGCCGCAACACCGAAGAATCTTCCAGGATTAACTCATGCCTCATGGGTTAGCTCCCGTTTTAACTCGTTATAGGATGTTATAGGGGGATGTTCCTCCTAGACTCCTCAGATGGGTTCACCGATCTGTCAAGCGCCCTTAGCATAGCTTTCATCTCTTCAGGACCCCTTGGCATCGAAGTATGTCGTGGGGACCACGCTCAGTGCGCTGGATTTGGCTTTTCCCACTGCTGTGAAGTGTGGAGGCCAGACCATTCGAGCCGTGGAAGGACATGGAAAAGATACAGGCAGAAGGCAGAAAGAGTTCCAAAAATGAATCAGCCCGTAGAAACTTAGAGCCTCCACTAAAGAACTTAACGACAAACGTCTCCACATCAGTCTCCTCTATTCTGCACCTCACACCGGTCCCTTTCCCCTACACTACCCCCCTAGCACTTCCCCATCCTCCCCAGGCGTGTGCGCCGACCTGCTCCCCTCCCGCAAGCGCCTTTGCGTCGCTGCCTACGAACGCGCCCGCCTGGCCGGCGCCGGTGCCGCGCCGAGCGGCGTGGATGAGCCGGAGATGGGCGGCGTGGCGGGGATCCTGCTACCGGCGGATGTGTCCATCCATAGCGTGGTCTCCACGGGGAGCAGTGGCTTGGAATGGAAGTGTTGGGGGGGGAGTTGTTGATGTTGAGCCCTTAGGAGGAGGTTGAGCCCTTTGGAGCTTTGAAGAGGATGGAATGGTGCAGTCTGGAGCCAAGCACATATACAGTAGTAGCAAGGTATGTAGTTCTTGGTAAGATAGGGCCTCATTTCTTCGGATGATTTTCTGAATGTGACCACCTGCAGGGTGGCTACTGTTTTGCGTTGATGGCAAGAAAGGGTCTTTAGAATCTGGACTACCCATGGACGATCCAAAAAGTAAGCATTGCAGACCAACAGCCACGAAGAATCCATTTCCTTTCGCAAGTACTGAGCCGGGTGGCACACGAGACACCAACCATGGAGCCCTGCCACGAAGAATCATCCCAAAATCAGAAAAACCATTCACGGTACCAGTGGGCACTGCAGTACATTAAGCTAACGATCTTCAGACCTTCTGGCCAGTGGACTCGTTGCGGCTTGTGAAGATGTGGAGTCCTACTTATAAGCCATTTGTGTTTGATGTAGTTGAGCATCTCCATTATTGGAAGATCATTTTGTTTCCGGCGGCTTCTGTTTTTGCTTCCCAACAAAGCCCTTGTCTTGAGACTCCCCAGTGCCCAAAACGCATCCCTTTGTGGGAGAGCAGATTTGTGATTAGTGGCTTCAGAGTAAATGGCAACATTTCCACAAGAGGTGGCCTATACGTAGCCCCATCTAGAATGATTTTCTGAGGTTCAAGTTCAGTACAATTTACTTGGTTGTAGGCCAGTGACACAATCTACCTATCAGGATTCTTTGAGGCTCGAGTTTTGTGCCATTCACTTTTGCAGCCAGTGACCAAATCTGATCCTACTGTAGTAGCTAGAATCTACCAGATGGTGGCGTTTTCTGCAGGTCGCGTGGGCCCGGAGTTGCGGGTGACCTCCGCACAGGGGCAGGTGATTAAACAGATGCAGTTCGACGATGACAAGGAGAAACACAGAGAGCCCTTGAGAGCAGCGGGTGTCATGTTTTGTTTGGGCGAGTTTGTTGATGAAATCTACTGATTTGTTTCCAAAAGCTGCTGTTGTGCCGCTGTGCGATGTCTGGAAGTGGGAAAATCTATGGAAATTCAATCTCTAAAAGCTGGTCTTTTTTGCAGGTCGGTCCCTTAAGGCCCTTAGGCAGTGCACCCATGTACCCTAGACGTGTAGAACTGGGTGGCTGGATCAAAGACCGATTATACTCAATAGACTGCAGATTGATGGGGTATAACGACTTGACAACCTATTCCCCCTTTGATGACTCTGACTCCATAGTTGATGAAACCTTGTATGGGGAGTGACTGTGGCTGGCCCCTTCTGGTTTCACGTTCTGTTCTCTCCATATTGATTGCCTTCATCCCTTTTCCAGTCTTGGGCAATCCGCGTCTCAACTGGCACCCCACCGACCCACCAGGAGGCGCACCCCGCGGCTGAGATGCTGCAGGCGGTGTGTCGCCAGGCCACTCCCTTACAGCAGCTGCTCATCGAGCGGAGCGGCTTTCTACTGGGCCACTTGGGGTCAAGTCCAGTGAGAACATGGACACTGCGTTGTCTTGTTTAATCTCAATGTTTCAAGGCCTATTTTAGGAATGACTATACCCCAGTTGACTACCCCTACTTGAGAAGAGTTTTAACCAACATCCAGTTTGTGGTGTCAGATTTGACTGGGAGCTCGTGGATGGTTCTATGACCTCATGAATAAACACTACACACGGTATGTTTCACCGTAGCATTGGGCTCGAAGGGCGTTGATGCCTATCTGCACGGCCTGCCGAAAGTGGTCGCTTTTGGCAGGTAAGTGCGGAGTTTGCACCTCGGCAGATCGCTTGTGGGCTATCTCCACGTGTCCGCGGTTGCCGAGCACTCAGGAGGCCGAAGCCAAGGTTACCAAGGTGCTGGACGGAGCATATTACTCGATTGCTCGACTAGTTCCTGAAGAAGACAGTCCAGCGAAGGGAGAAGCCTCTCCCAGTCGGCCGGAGGTTAAGAAGAAGAAGGGAGAGGATTCTCCCAAGGTATCCGTGGACGAGAAGGAGGGTAAGCCCACCGAGGTCGGCGAGGAGGACAAGTCCCCTTATTTGAAGCCCAAAGAGGAGAAGGAGGAGAAAGACAGGGGAGTCAGCACTACTCCCAAGAAGACAGAGGATCGAAAGCCATTGCCCAGAAGGCGAGAAGAGGAAAAAGAGACAGCAAAGAGATCAAGAACACCCAAGCGGAGGCAGGAGAAAGAGAAGAAAAAGCGGAAGCGAGGAGATTCGAGGTCAGGAGAAGTGAGTGGCTCAGAGGTCAGGAAACAGAAAAGGGAGGCTGCTGACTCCCAAAGAGAGAAGAAGGAAAAAGTAGACGAGCAGACTGCGAAGGAGTCAACTATTGAAAGAGAAGCGTATTTGAGGCCGAGACCTACGCAAAGGAGGCCGAGATCACCACATACGCCTGAACGACCTCCGCCCGAGAGATCATCAGGTTCGAAAGGGAAAAGCAAAGGGAAGCCACAAGGAAGTGGTTGGAGGGGCCGCGTGCCTTATTCAAGCCACCCACGGTGGACTCAGGGAACCAATAAAGGGATCACAAAGAGAGCGAAACAGGAGCTCAAAGAAAGAAAGAACCGCGGCCGAGGAGGCCGCTACCATTGGTAAGGGAAGCAATGGCTCCCAAACTACGACGACCAGCCGCAGCACCTCCGCGAGTTGGACGACGACGCAGGCCAGCTGCGGAACGGGAGGAGGCCCTCCCAGTGGAGAAGCTTTATTCATGGTCAGATCTTACAATGGAAAGATTGGAGGACCTGGACGTGATTGAGCTGGACAGGGCTTCATATTACAATGCTTCAGTAAAGGTGGCTGGCCGGGTCCGTGCTTTACATCCGGCTGATGGGCGCATGGACTTCGTGCTGACTGGCACCCAATCGGAGCGCATTATGGAGGCATTTGGAGGAGGAGAGGACCGGCTTGTTTCGGTCCACCTTTGCAAGGATAGTTGCAGCCAGCTAGAGACCGGCAGGCTAGTGTTCCATGCCCGAGGGTTCTGGGATTGCTCAGTAGCCCCAAAAGAATGGCAGATGAACCTCTCCGAGAAAGCCGTTGCGGAGCTCGATGAGTTGTCGTCGTTGAGAAAGCTTGCCGAGGAGCGTGGAAAAGGGAGGGGAGGAGATAAGCCTCCCAGACCTGAGGCGGCGGCTGCAGAGGTGGTTGAAGGAGCAAAGAGGCCTGAAGGGGCAAAAGAAAAGAAAAAGAAGAAAAAGAAGAAGGAGAGAAAGGGCGAAAAAGAATGGGAGGAGAAGTTGGAGGCCCAGGAGGGCCTTGAGGTTTTGGAGAGAGGGCAAAAGACCGCCAGAGCGGTCTTCGCCTTCACCTGTCTGGACCCAAATGTAAGCCGCCGTAAGAGGCTGATGAGGAAGGCCCGAAAGATGAAGAAGAGGAGTGACAAGAAGCGGAAGCGATCGAGCAGCTCTGAGGAGGAGGCTAGCAGCTCAGAGAGTTCGTCGGAGGAGGACGGATCGGAAGAAGAGGGGCCTTTATTTGAGGAGACAAGAAAAGTGAAGAGGCTTCATGAGAGATACCCCGGGGCACTGAGTTTGCAGGCTATAGAGAATATGCGAGAGCACTTGATGAGCGCCCGAGGAGACTTATACAGCAGTTCCCAAGAGCAGCTGGCGCCGGTCTTTTCGATTTACGCTCATCAACACCTCAAGGGCCAGGCATCGCCAGTTCTTTGGCAAGAGATTAGCACCGTGGCCCACGTCAGCGATCTCATCCTCCGGCGCAAGATTGCGGCAGCGCTGGACGTTTTGGTCCAGAGGGCCAAGGCGCTCGAATCGACCCTCAAAGGCGGGCACTATACAGTGTCGAGGCAGCTAGAGCTTGTGGGGGCTGACCCGGTGGCCATGACAGAGGCAGGCGAAAGCTATGAAGCGGCCCGCCATGCACGCGAAGATTTCCGCAACAAGACGGTGGGTTCAAAGCCCTATGGGATGGGGCGAAAAGGCGACAGTGAGGGCAAAGGTAGAGGCAAAGCTGTTCCATCTTCAGAGCCGGCGTACAAGGAGAAAGGGGAGAAGGGTAAGAAAGGAAAAGGAAAATGGGACCGCAAAGGAAAAGCAGAGAGTGGATAGCCGGTGGGACTGAGGATGGAACAGCACATGAGAGAAAGAGTAGAGGAAGTGCCAAGAGAGGAGGGTCGCCAGGAAAGAGAGAAGAGAGGGTTGACAGACAGGTGAGGCAAAAGAAAACAGAGGATATGGGTAGAGGAGATGAGGAGGAAAAGGCCATAGAGGCCCTATTACAGCAGTGCCAGAAGCAGGCAGAAGGCTATGAGCTTGGAGGAGCAACTCTTGTTGAGAAAAGTCCAGGATGGGCTCCGGGCCAAGCAGAGGAGGAGAATATTGAACAGGGGAGGGACCGCAGAACGCTCTCCCAGCATGTGGAACTGGAGGCAGAGGCTGCAGGTATGGACCGTGGCTTACTGGCTGAAGGTGTCTTCGCTGGAGGGAATGCTGCAAGAGAGAGACAGATGGGAGGGGAGCATTTGATGAGGAGCTCCCAGTTTTTCCAAGGCGAATCCGGGCGACCCCAAATGAAGGAGAGCCGCTGGGATGCCTATGCCGGGACACCACGACTGGATTTCAAACCGTGCCGTGGTGGAGACATTGTGCACAGAAGTCCCCGTGCTTTGGGGCAAGGAGTGTCAGATCAAGCCAGGCACGACCTCGAAGAGTTGCGCCTGATGCTACAAAACAAGAGCCAGCAAGAAGAGATGGTGGTAGGGGAGATGGGGCCCGTACTCTCCCGTATGTTGGAGGTTTTCGATGATCAGTTGAATACGCGTTGCAGTCAGGCCTCGGAGGGGATTTTCCCTCTCCCGCTTCCAACACAATTAGGGATGAGTGGGGGCCATGTGTGTTTCCTGGAGGCGTTGGTCCGTGGTTTGAACCTACTTGCCGGTACTAGGAGTAGGTGGCTGAGGACTCCCAGCAAGGTTTCGCAGGAGTTGGTTTGTCGTCTTGAACAAGTTTTGGAGGGTTGTGAACTGTTGAAAGAAAAGGTGCCGCGGCTTACTTTTCGGGAGTTCTTCCGCACCAAGACCATCGATTATTCGGGGGAAGAGGTGAAAGTCGCTCGCCGTTTTACTTGGCAGATGATTGAGGCCGCTCTGCCCCAAGGGGTAGGAAGTTTGATGTTGACCGAGTTTTGCACTCAGGGGACCCTTGATTATGTTCGGAACTTCGAGCAGTGCCTTCTACCGGATCAGGATCAGCACTTGGGGAAGACGCCAGCCATCATGGTGGAGCAACGCGACTGGGCTGAGGTGTGCCGGGGCCTGGTCGCCAGGGGAGTTTGTAGTCTGATGAAAAGGGGGGAACTGCACCATGTCCGGGGAAGACCCTTACTTAACGGCCTTTTTGCGGTGGAGAAGGGGGAGAGAGCAGTTGGAGCGGATGGCACTGAATTTGACGTATGCCGACTAATTATGAATTTGGTTCCAACCAACTCCCTTTGTCGCAATTTGGTCGGGGATACAGCAACGCTTCCCTCAATAGTCGGACTCACGTCAATCATCCTTGAAGACAGTGAGCTGCTCCTTACATCCTCAGAGGATATCCGGTGTTTCTTTTACCTATTCCAGACACCACCAGAGTGGTGGCCCTACATGGGCTTTGCACGGGAGGTGCCAGAAGAGGCCCTCCCAGAGGGCTACTCCGGTCGTGAGTGGCACCTGGTGACGAAGGTGTTGCCTATGGGGTTCATCAACTCGGTTGCGATCGCCCAGCACGTGCACAGACGGGTGATTGGACAAGCCCTCTATTCAGCAGGGAGCCTCGCGACAAAGCATCAAGAGATCAGGCGTGACCGCCCCAACAGTCGGGCCGATCATCTATTCAGGGTCTATCTGGACAACTTCGACGAGCTGCGCAAGGTGGACCGTCGAGTGGCCGAGCTTGTGGAAGGAAAACCGTCAGACTGGACTCTAGCAATCAGGGAGACGTATACATGCCTGGGGCTTCCGCGCCATCCTAAGAAGGCAGTGGAGCAGTCTTTGCACGCGGAGGTCCAAGGAGCCTGGGTGGATGGGAGCAGGGGAACAGCTACTCCCAAGTTCAGCAAGGTTGCCAGGTACTTGAGCCTGGCAATGGAGGCAGTCGTGCAAGGAAAGGCGTCGCAGCGGGAGCTTCAGATTATTGGGGGAGGGTTCGTCTACATTGCAATGTTCAGACGTCCTCTTCTCTCAGGGTTGAATGCCATTTGGAAAAAGATTACTAGTCTGAAAGGCAATTCCCCTCATCAGCGTTCTGCGTTGAGTCGAGAAGTCGAAGTGGAGCTGATCAGGTTCATCGCGATGAGCCCCTTGGCGTTCATGAACTTCAGACTACCTGTCTCGGAGCACGTCACAGCTAGTGATGCGTCGACCACGGGAGGTGGGCTCTGCGTATCCCGTGGACTTAGTCCGTACGGGCTGGCAGCCTCCCAGGCGGAGGCGCGAGGGGACGTGCTATGTCCAGATTTTCGTGATCTCGTTGTTTGATGGGATTGGTGCCTTGCGTGTTGCTCTGGATTGTCTGAGAGTACCGGTAGCTGGCTTTGTGTCGGTGGAGCTCGATGACCACGCCTCTCGTGTTGTGGAGTCGTACTTCCCGGATGTGCTTCGGGTGACTGACGTTGGCTTGGTTGACCTTGAGATGATGAGGGAGCTGGGGGCTGCGTTTCCCGTCGGTGTCGCTTGTCCTGTTGGGTGCGGGACCCCCATGCCAAGGAGTCTCGGGGTTGAACGTGGACCGGAAGGGGGCTATGAAGGATGCGAGGTCCTGCCTTTTCCAGCACATCCCGAGGATCGAACAAATGGCGCGGCAGGTTTTCAAGTGGTGCCCTGTGCACCGTTTGATCGAGAATGTCGCTTCCATGGATAAGGTTGATTGCTTGGCCATGAATCAGGCGTATGGGATGGAACCTTGGGTGGTGGATGCTCATGGCATTTCCTTGGCTCGACGACCGCGCCTTTATTGGATGGACTGGGAGATGAGGCCGCAGGAAGGTGTAGCCATTGACCAGGGGAGGATTAGGGGCCTCCCAGTGCAAGGAAGTATCCTACTTCACGGTCACGTAGATGACGCTGACTATTTAGAGCCAGGCTGGAAGCGTGTCAACCCTAGTGGGAGTTTCCCTACGTTCACTACGGCTAGGCCCTCGGACACACCAGGCAGGAAACCCGCGGGGTTGGCGCTCTGTCCTCAGGAAGCGTTGGACAGGTGGAGGAGCGATTCTCACAGGTTTCCGCCATACCAATATCGCGACGAAAATTGTGTGGTAAACTCCCAGGGTATAATGCGTGTGCCATCCATCTCAGAACGCGAAGTGATCCTGGGATTTCCCCTGGGGTACACCCGCCGGTGCATGACAAAAGCAGCCGAAGGGAGTACGAGCCATAGTGACTGTCGGCTGAAGCTGCTTGGCAATAGTTGGTCGGTGCCGGTTGTTTGCGTGTTGTTGAGCTCGTTGTTCCGCTTGCTTGGTTGGTTGCCGTCCCTATCAGTCCAGGAGATTCTTGATCGGTTGACGCCAGGATGTGCCTCGGACCTTGCGGGCTTGCTGTTGCGGCCACCTCTACGTCACAGTAGTCACTTGACACAGCAGGGGTCAGGCCTTGCGCGGAAACTGCTTGGCCAGGTATCTGTCAAGGGGGAAGATATTCTCCTCCAGATGGGCACTGATGTCCCTGCTAGGTATCATCGCCTGCGAGCGTCGCTTCCGAGTAAGCTTTGGAGGTGGCGAGATGTCATCGGGTGGCGCTGGAAAGGAGACGTGGAACACATCAATGCCCTGGAGTTGCGGGCGGTCAAGACAAGTCTGGTTTGGAGGATTAGGGAGCTACGTGAAGGGCCGGTCCGTTTCGTTCACTTAGTCGATTCTCTGGTTGTGCTACATGCTTTGTCGAGAGGCAGATCCTCAAGCCGGAAACTCAGGAGGACCTTGGCAAAGATAAGTGCACTGTTGTTGGCAAGCGGCTCTGTTGGTGCTTGGTCCTACGTGGACACGCACCAAAACCCAGCAGATCGGCCGTCCCGGCGGCCCGTCCAGCGGAAATGGGTAAGAAAGGTGCAAAAGTGATTGAGGGCCGTAGTCAACAACAGCGCATAAAAGTGCGGAAACAACTGGGGACTTTGAAGGGGTTGACTGTTCAACCTCGGACTCGTGAACGTTATCAGACATGTCTTGACAAATTTGTTGATTGGTTGGCAGGGGAGGGACTTGTCCTCCCAAAGCGGGCTCAGGCCTTGGATAGTGTGGTCTCTGACTACTTGGAGTTCTTGTGGGACTCTGGTGAGAGCAAGTCGGTCGCCAATAACACTCTGGCAGCTCTGCAAGATAAAGAACCTGGGTTGAAGCGACGTCTCACAGGTAGCTGGCGGTTGTTGAAAGCATGGTCAACCGCCGAAATTCCAAACCGCGCGCCCCCAATGACTCTGACAGTGCTGGATGCCCTCTGCGGTTGGTTTCTCATGAAGGAGCAGCCACTCATAGCCTTGTCGTTGCGCGTGGCCTACTTTGGGTTGCTTCGCACGGGAGAGTTGCTCAACTTGCGAGCGCGGGATGTTTTTCTCCCTTCTCCCAAGGGCCCCGCTGTGCTGTCACTCGGGCTTACAAAGGCGGGAGCACGCCAAGGAGCTGCGGAAAGCGTGACCGTGCATGAGGACTCTGTACTTCCCAGTCTCTTTCGTTGGAAACAGTCTGCACGACCCTCCGAATTTTTAACTCCGAAACCGCACCAGTGGCGTAGCTGGTTTTCCAAAGCCATAGACGGCCTACGACTGACCCAATTGGAATTCCGCCCTTACAGCCTCAGGCGAGGTGGGGCCACATTCTTTTTTAACCACCACGGATCTTTCGATCGCTTGCTGGTCCAGGGACGGTGGGCAGCCGCGAAAACGGCCCGTATTTACTTGAACGATGGGCTAGCTCAGCTGTCCGAGATGACACTCCCTAATTCGTCCTTGCATGGTTACATTCGTTTGTTCCGCTCGTGCCCAATACTTGAGCCTGGGAAGCCGTGTACGCTTCCCAGAGCTGGGGGGCGTGGAAAGAAGCGTAAAATCGGAAAATGAGAGTTGGTGTCTTGCCCAGTTTTT